CTTGAGGCTGATTGCGGACAGCTTTACAAATGCTGATTGTTTTACAGTAGGCAATGCGCGTCCGGTGGAACTTTTCGCAATCATTATGAAACTCCTTTACCTAAGACAAAAAAGACAACCCCGATGTGGTCATTCTTCACAAGTCCACTGCCCAGGCATTCGAGACCTAAGAACATTATCGACAGAGAAAAGGGAGACGTGGAATGGCCATTTCTGCCTTATTAACCATCATCAGACAGTTATACCCAAACTCACGGGATGCATCACCCAATATTCGAACCTGTGGCCACAATGCCTGTTCCCTCTTTGTTCTCCAAGGCCCCCTGTCCCAAAGTCATGCGTCGTCGCAAACAACTGTTCCAATGCTTTCTTTCACAGCCCCCCCTTCCCGAGGCTTGACCTCACAGCTGCTTCTGGTAACCGATAACAGCTGCGCCAGCGTCCCCTGTCCTTCGGCGTTCCGTTGGCCCCCACAGTTGATCTCAGCTTATTCGGTCACGCACACACGTGGGCATACACTCGCGCATACACGCGCTTCTAAATAAGCACGCCTGCCTAAGGGCCACTTGAATAAGCCATCCCCGGCCGATGCAGCAAAGACCTCCACAGACCACAGCCCCTCGGGCGAATTGCAACACACCAATAGCAAACCACTCGAACATGCATCACAATCCTACTCAAGCGGCTATCACCACTGTCACATACTCTCTCAGGTCTGCCTGGACGCAGTCAACACTAGCTCTGGCTTTGCCAGTGACCACGGCAGCCTAGGACAACGATAAGGGGTTCTGTTTACAGTAAAACACTCCTTCTGGTGACTTCTGCCTTTTAACTTCCGACCTGGGATTTCGATCTGATGATTGCAGTGATCCGAGTCCAACCACTATTTAGACTGCTACAAACCCGCGACCTGTTATTTGGAAGTTGAACGCTGTAAACCTTGAGGCATTAGCTCGTTGTCTTGCCGCATTCGATCGGACATATTAACATTGGCGGAAGGGCACTCAAGGGTTGGATATGGAAAGCAGTCGTCCCATACTGCGTTTTCGAGCCTCAGGTAATACACAACCTGAAATTGTGTACGGCTGGCTGCTAACAGCTTATCAGCAAGAAATGGTCCCTCTAGCCTCTCTTGTCCTTGTCGGTTTATGTTCTTCCGCCCAAAACACTAACCATTGTGCGGCTGCTGGTTGGGTTCGGAGTAAGACCTAAGGCAGAAGGAGACTAGTGAGTCCCGCATTCACTCAGTGCTCGTCCCTTCACTCGTGACATAGTCCAATTTTAAGGACTTGTCACACAGGAAAAAACACTTCTGTTTGTACCATTCACCAGAACCACCCTCTCTCTTCTACACAGGCAGTTATCGCAAAAGGTTGTTAAGCTAAGCCGATTAAAGCCTAACTACTGCGATCTTCCAGGCCCGGTTCCTTAGGAGATAAGAGAAGCCTTGGAAAGCCAGGATGTAGGGACAATATATTGTTTACAGAATGAGTTGCAGAATAGTTCATAAGAAGGTTGACTCGGTCTGAGGTGGTGTTATGCCATGAGGAGCGAGAGGGAGAGTCACAGCCTCGCGTCCGCCGCGCACCGGGGCGAAAGGCCGAGTGAATTCCGCCTTG